TTACTGCTGTTGCTGGCACTCATTCTACTGTTGCTAGTGGTCCTGTCGCCGGAGGCATATCTCTTCTACTTATATTGCTATGCTTCTTCTATTTTTACGGCAGCTGCTACGATTGCTGATGCTTCTGCTGCACGAACATGTAGCCAGTGCGGGTGCCTGCTGCCGCTGCTGCAAGCACCGATGCTGCACCCTGTGCTGCTACGGCTCGTGCTATCTCTATCAGTTTTGCTACTTTTGTTGCTGCGCGGGTGCTATTATGTCTTCTCGTTTTGCTGTTACGGTTGCAGTGGTCGCTAGTTGTTTCTTTTCTTGCTGCCGCTACTGATGCTGATGCGATTTCGGATGCCGTCACTGCAGATCTCAGCTTGTTATTCCTGTCGCGTCGCGCATCGCCGCCAGCCCATACACATCGATTCTCAGGCGAGTTGCCTTGTGCAGAGAAGTGCAGGACCGTGCAGCGAGACAGGGAGGCATGCGGCCGTCAAGCGTCAAGCGCGCTTGCCCCAGCAGACCCCCGAGTCACCAAGAGGTGCCTCTTTCAACGGCAGGGCCGACTCCGGGCCGACGGTTCCCTCTTGAGCCCGTCCCCTCCCGTCGCTCCCCCCTCGGAGGACATGGACGAGATCCTGGCGGGAGTGCACGAGAAGCTCGACTTCACCGCCAAGGAGGGGGGGGCTCGCCAGGGGCGGCAGCCGTGGGGGGCTTCCTCGTCCCTCGCTGGCCCACACTCCTCTGGAGCCGGCTTGGGGTCCGAGGTGGCCCAGCCTTTCGCTACCTACCAAACCACCCCGATCCAACCCGAATGCCTCAATTTGCCTTCCATTTCCAGTGAGGGGGGGGTCGGAGAGCATGGAACAAAACACATGTGGAACCCGTACCCCCCCCAACCAGAAATTCGGGTCTGCGGGTTGGGTTGGGGTGGTCTGGTAGGCAGTCAGCCTTGGTTCTGGCCAGCAAGAAGGGGTGGAAAGGGTTCGAGGTGCTGGGCTCGAATTTTTTCTGGCCTCCAGGGGGGCGTTTTCGCGCCCTGGTGACGTCGAACACGGATCCGGGATGCAAGCATTGCACCAGACGGACCACAGGAGGGGTCCAGGAACCGATTTTGAACGGATTTGCCCTTCTCTCCCCTCCTTAATCGATGCTCGAGGTCCATTCTGTAGAGGCCGCGAGTAGTGGACTGTCCAGGTTTTATTAGGTTGGGTTCGACTGGGAAGCGATTTTGGCGCCGCTTTGTCAGCTGAGTTTTTTTGCTACTGGTTTGGGCGGATCGCGTGGTTTGGTGGGTTTGATCTTGCGTGGCGGGGCCGTGCAGTGGGTTCTCTCTCTGTGTTGTTGTCATTGCGGGCTGCCCTGTTCAACGGAATCAATTTGCATGGCGCCACCACGCATCGAAAGGGCTCGGCCCAAACGATATCATACGTCCTGGGAGGGCTCCCAAAGGGGCCTCTTGGAACTCTGTGGGAGGGCCAAGCCCTCGGGGGGGGCTCCGAGCGCTCGAGCCCCGCCTGCCCACGAGCCCTGGTTACCCAAACATCTACGAAACATCTATGAAACATTTACGAAACATCTACGAAACAGCTACACACACGCAAAAACATCTACGAAACATCAACGAAGCATCTCTGGTGCATTTCCGAGGGGTCGAAAACGACGCGGCCGCATCTGCTGAAACCGCGGTCGCGCGAGCCCGATTCCGTTCACGGGCCGAGCCTCGACTGAAGTGGTGGTCGCGCGAGTCCGACTTCGCTCGCGGGACGAACCTCGCCGGCAAAACATCTACAAACATCTACGAAACATCTACGAAATATCTACGCCCGCAAAAACATCAACGAAACATCTACGAAACATCTACGAAACATCAACGCCCGCAAAAATGTACCAATCATCTGCGAAACATCTCCGCCCCGTTCCCGCGGGTAAGCCACGTCCCATGGGCTCGTCGCCATGGCTGGATTCCTGAGTGCGACTACGGATCGGCGCTGGCGGTCCGTGATCACCGGCACCGGGGGCTTGGAGCCGCGCGCGGGGGGACGGGGTCGATGTCGGGGGCGAATCAAAGGGCATGGCTTTGTGCGCGGTGTTTCTGCGGGGCAGGTTGACGTCGTGGGCATCGCAGCGCTGGCCGCTGCGTCGGGCGATTCTTCCATGAGCGGGCCGAGCGCAGCGCTCGAATCAAGACGCAACTCAAGAAAGGCATCATACTGGGCAGAGTGTCCTGGAGTGCGTCCGAGTGTCGGCCAGAGCCCCCTGGGCTGATTTTGGGGCGGTCGTTTTGATTATTCTTTTGACAGTCCTCCCCAGGCCATAAGTCGCGGCCTCTACAGTCCACCCAGTTCAGAACCCCAGCCGCTTCCACCCGGAGACATATAGAGGTCAGCGCCAGCTCCAGTGTCGGCGGTGTGCCTCCACCGAGGGAAGATGATCCCGATCTCGGTGATGGTGGTAGTACTCGGGCCTCCCAGGTGGCCGAACTATTACCACCAACATCAAAGTCTAGGATCGTCTTCCCTCGGTGGAGGCACACACCTGTGCTGGTGTCGGTGCTCGTTTTCCAGGCCTCCAATCCAACACCCCACTCCACCCCTCTCCTGGGGGAAACCAAAAGGCACCGGTACCGCTACTCCCCAGACCTCTCCCGGGGTGCGATCCGACCAGAATCTCGTGGCGAATCCAGCGGTGGAGACGCGGGCCTCCCAGGAGGCCCAAAAGGGGGAACACCATGGAAGGGTAGCGGTAGCGGTACCCTTTCCTCCTCTGAATTCCCGCCTCCCTGCGTCGGCCCATCACGGTGGCCGCAAGCACGAGGGCGAGCGGCTTCAGGCGCGCCGATTGCGCAGATGGCGGGGAGGGGGCGAGTTGGAGGGGACGAGGCGCAAGGGGAAGGGGGGCCAGCGCTCGGACTGCTGATGAGCTCGGCTGTTCCTGGGGCGAGGGGGCACAAATAGGGGGGCCACCTCCAGCGAGGAGGTCCGCGATGCTTCCCCGAGCTGGGGATCACGTAGGGATGTCTCTGGCGAGAGGGGGGAGCCACACCACCGAGGGGGGCCCACCCTTGCTCTTCCCGCGGGCGGGGTCCCTGGTGGGGAGGGGATGGAGGGAGGGCGGAGGAGAGGACCCAGACCCTCGACGTCGTATTTTTTCCGCGTGGGGCCCCGCAGGTTTCGACCCCCCATCACGCCGTGTGTGTGTGTGTGTTTGTGTTATATATATATATATATATGTATATATATATATATATATATATAAAAACGTGGATTTCCAGGGGTCTCGACCCGCTCCCTGGGACCAGCTTTGCGCCCTGGGTCGCTCTTCGACGCTCCTGGGGCCTGGCGGGGGCCCCCAGAGGCCGACATCAGCTAGACGCCTCCTGGGCCCCTCTCCGGGCCTGCGGTGAGGAGGGATGGGGGGGGGGAGGCGAGGGGGGGGGAGGGCGCTGCAATGGGCGCCCTAGCTTTTTCCCTTGCCTGCCCTCCTCGGGTGCCCGTGCCGTTCCCGTGGGAGCGGGCCGAGGCCCCCCCCACCCGCTCCCCCCGCCTGCCCCCGCCTGTGCCTCTGCCTCCGCCTCCCCCCGCCTGTGTCTCTGCTCCGACTCCTAGGTGGGGTTCGAGCAGAGTCACAAACCTTACTAAGGACGCGCGACTTTGCTCAGGGTACCCTTGCGTCCTTGCTCTTCCTTGCTCTTGCGTCCTCGAGGTTTTCGACGTCCGCCGCCCCAAAAATCCCGACTTCGGCTTCCAAGGGTCTTGCGTCCTTGCCGCGCGTCCTTATTAGGGTTTTTGACTGTAGATGGGGTTGGGGGATCGCGCCGCATCGCCGATGCACTGGCGATGCGGCCCGATGCGGAGCCCGATGTTCGCCGTGTCGACGGCGCCGATAGATGCATCGCCGACGTGGATGCATTGGCGATGTTGTGCGATCCTCCGATCCCCATCTACTCGGGCCCCAGCTATGGGGTCCTCTGCTATGTGCGCCCGCCGACGCTGAGAAGCGCCCGCGCCTCGAAGAAGTGTGACAACAAGCGCGGCCGGTCCGGGGTCGAAGAGGTCGAGGTCGGTTCGGGGAGGGTAGCCTTCTGCTCTTTGTGGTTGTGTGATGGTCTTGTGCATCCTGGGGTGTTTGGCCGGCGGAGGGTCTCATGCTTTTGAAGGATGTTTTTCTGTCATAGGCCTGGCTGTATGCCCATGTTGAACGTGTCTGCAACATCTACTCCTGTAGCTCTGCATCTGTGCACCATGCGTCTGGACCCTATTGAGAGTTGAGGACGCAATGCCTCGAGAGAGAGAGAAAGAGAACGAGAGCGAGAGAGAGAGAGAGAGAGAGAGAGATAGAGAAAGAGAGAGAGAGAGACAGAGAGTGAGGGAGAGAGGCCCAGACTTAACAACGGCACAAACACAAGCGTTTAGAGTTCCGCGCGGAGTTCTCAAATCGGCGCCGGGCCACTTTGGCGGCGCCTCTGGCGCCGCCCCTGGTGCGCTCTGCGCTCGCCAGGGAGGGGGGCCCAGCGCGGGTGAGGGAAGTTCGCGCGGATCTGTGGAGGCTTGTGCTCACGGCGTCGTCCTTTTCATGTGTCTGCCGTGGAGCCCTCAGCATGCACCGTGACCGCTGGCGCTCGAGACGCACACCACCTCCAAGTGGCCCTCCGTGACATACGCACCCTGCTAATGCAGAGCCATCTGCGCATGCTTCCAGCCACGCGCAGAGGGGGGTGGGGGGAGGGGGTAGGGCTTCTTAGCAGCACCCCTGCTTCTTAGGAGGCGCGGGCCTGATCTGCAGATGTGAGGCCGGCGCCTTCTAAGAAGCAGCCTCCTTCTAAGATGCCCTCCGCCCTCCCCTCACCCCCTCGTGCGCGCCGCCAGAGGGTGCCGTGGAAGCCCCGCGCTCCCTGGGCGTTGTCGCGCGCAGCCCGAGACGGCCGGGGGGGGCAGACGATGCAGGAGGCCGGCCAGACGATCCAGGAGGCGTACGGCCAGGCCTTTCCCGGCGGAGGGAGGGGCGAAGGGCGCAGGGGGGTGCTGCAGGTCACCACGCACCAGACCACCCCCCAACCCAGCCCGAAGGCCTCAACTTGCCCTCCATCTCCAGTGGAGGAGGGGGGTGTCGGGGAGCATTGAAATAAAACACATGGAGCCCGCACCCCCCCGCCCTACCCGAACTTCGGGCCCAAATTCGGGCCTTCGGGTTGGGTTGGGGTGGTCTGGTAGGCAGTCAGCAGGCGGGGGGGGGGGGAGAGGCACGGTCCGAGGGAGGGCGGGCGGGGATGGGGGGAAGGAGAGGTCATGGAGAAGCAGAGTGCCCCCAGCCCTGATGACGCAGTGCAGACGTAGCCTGCCTTGGGTCCCCGTTTCTGCATCAGGGGTGGGTCTGGGTGGTTTGGGGTGTTATGTCTGCCGTACAGTCGGCCCGGATTAGTAGGTCGCCCCTGCCAGCTCAAGGGTACCCTTGTGTCCTGTGCCTCGCGACACGTGCCTTCTTACACTCCTCTGGCGATGTGGCCCTCGGAAGGGTCGTCTCGTGTCCTCTCGCGTGTCCTGTCCAATCAAGGCCGACTGTACGGCCCATTGATCGCCCATGGGGTGCCGATGTCCCGTTCCGCCCAGGAGCGTGCGGTGGCGCTATCGGGGGCCTGTCGCCGATCTATCGGCGATGCGTCGGCGATTCCAGGTCCATGTTTCCCTCCCTGTGTCAGTAGTCCCCTCCTGTTGTTTCTCCTCAGTGGGGGGCGAGGAGGAGGGTAGCAGAGGAAGTTGGGGAAGCTGGAGGTCAATAAGAAGGGTGATGAGGTTGAGTGAGTTCGAGGAGATGGAGGAGGAGGAGGAGGAGGGACGGGGAGGGGAGGGACGGGGAGGAGGAGGAGTAGGAGGAGGAGGAGGAGGACGACGGGGGAGGTGGAGGACTAGGAGATGGGAAGGAGGAGGATGAGAGGGAGCATGATGATGGTACTGTCCAGACCGGCGTCTTGCCAACGACGCGTGCGTTTTCTCGTCGCCGCTTTGCTCCAGCAGCATGGCCGTATCTCCAGGCGTCGTGTTCGCCATCACGGCCGCCGACCCAGGCTGGACGATTGGCCCCGGCACCTGATTCGAATCCTCGGGCCAGGCTCGCCGCCTGCCTGCCGACGCCCCCGAAGACCGGCACCCCAGGGCGGTGGCCTCCCGGGAGGCCCTCGTCGCCACGGCTGGATTCGCTTCGAAAATCCGGGCCAGAACGCACCCCAGGGCAGGTGCGGGGCGAGGGCGGCGGCGGCGGCGGCGGCGGCCACGGCGAACTGCTCGCGGGGGGTGCCGTGCGTCTGTGCCGCCGCGCGCAGGTGGGCGACACGGCGGCGTCGGCCCTGGCCCAGGCCGCCAAGGTGCACGCGGGGAGGCTGCAGGAGGCGCAGCGCCGCACGCAGACCAGGGGGGGAGGGGGAGGAAGAGGTGGAGGAGAGGGGCGATGAGGGGGACGATGATGTGGGAGGATGAGCTGGAGGAGGAGCAGGAGGAGGAGGAGTAGGGACAAGCAGTTTACCACGCGCCCCATTATACTGTATACACATAACGCCGCACCGGGCCCGGGGGCCCCGGGGCCGCAGCCTCGACCACAAATGGGGGGACGTCGGGCCCAGCCCGCTCCCCGCCGGGCCCCAGGTCGGCCGCCGGAGCGCCCAGACGGCCGTCCAGGCGGCTCCAGGCCGACCGGCGCCACCCTGAAGACAACCTCCAGCGGTCCCCGGCTGCTCGAGAGGCGTCTCGAACTGCCTCAGACGCCTCCGACACGCTCGAAGACCCCTCGAAGAGATCCCCCCAGACGGCCCCGGGAAGCAAAAATTAGCCCCGTTCCCATAGTAAAACGCACATTTTTACTACAATGGATTTTTTGGCCTTCGTACCGTCCTCTACGACCTCCGACTCTCCCTAGAACGCCCCAAGACGGCCCACGAAGCCCACAAGAGAGCCCCAAGACGGCCCTAGAGGGGCCCAAGACAGTACAAGAGGCGCCCAGGACGGCCTAAACGCGTCCCCGTAGGGCCCCAAGAGGGGCCCAAAACGGGAAACCCGGAGCGCCCGGACGGCTGTCCAGGCGGCCCATTGGTGCGAGGCCCCCCAAAGCCCCCCACCAGGCCCCACAGGAGACGCACACGGGGCCCCAAGATAGCCGAACAGTGCTTTCGATGCGTCAAAATTACTTCAAGGAGGCCCCGGGAGGCTTCCGGATTGCCCCAGTGCACATGTGGCCTCAAGCCGGGCCTCCACGCAGCCAAGACGGCCAATTGACTGCTTCATACAACAGAACATGACTTTCCGACTGCCCGGAGAACCCTGACGATGCCGCCAAGGGACCGCACGGAGAACCCCCCAGAAGCCCTTCAGATGCCCCCACGAAGACCCTCAGGAGGCACGACTGTGTCACGCGCCTGTGCTTGATAGCGCTGTCCAAGATCTTCTAGCGCGCCCCCGGCCTGGGCTAGAACCTGAGCGCGCGCGAAGCGCGCGCGATGGTTCTAGTATATATATGTGTATAGTTATATATGTTGTTATACACAGTTCAATCTAATCCGATACCATACATGATCATGCAACCTACTGTGCTATACTAGATTGTACTGTAATGTACACACATAGGTTACATTCTAATATACTATACCTTACTAGCAGATAGCCTAATACACCATGGTCTAACATACTATACCTGCCTATACGGCATTTTAATTCAATAATATGTGATACGACACTTTATGATCACAGCTTACATTCTAGTTTATTGCATCACAGAATAATGCACAATCTTATACCGTACGTTTAGTAAACGATTAATTGTGACAACATGGTCTAATACACGCATATATATACACATATTATTCGTTTGTAATTAACTATACTCTACCAGTGTTTAGTACAGTAGAAACTGCGATACTATATTATACTACACTTTAGCAACTGATATCCAATGTGATGTATCTTGTTCTAATTTGATATAATAAGGCGCCCTCTACCATGTTATACCATCTTATAGTGTAGTATAATTTAATACGCATGCGTCTATGTTCAAGGCTGCAGGCGGGCCAGGGACCACGGCCCCGGTGACGCATGGCCGCTCTGGGGGGTTAGGTGCGTTCTCGTTGCCCCCAAAGTGGCCCCATGGGATCTTCGTCGGGACCTCTTGGAGCGTCTTGGCCCATCTTGAGGCCAGTGTGGGCCGTCTTTGGCTCTCTCGAGGCCGCCTTTGCCGCCATGGAGACGTTTGTCGGTCCGTCTCGGAGGCCATCTTGGGCCATCTCTGGCGTCTTTGAGGCATCTTGGGCTCCGTTTGGAACATCTTGGCCGTCTTTGGGGCGATTTGGGCCGCGAGAGGTGGATTTTCGGCGGCCTTTTGGGTGGCTCGCGGGTTGGGCCGAAGCCTCAGGGGGGCTTGTGAAAGGGTAAGAAGCAGTAGAAGTTTAGCACGCCAGGCAACCCTGTGGCAAGACCACGGGGGGCGGCAGATCAATCCGTTAGCCGGGAGAACTAACAAGGGGGGGTGTGAGGGGTTTGGCCTCGAGGGCCCCAGCAGCCCATTCAAAACCGATGCTCAGGCGAGTTGAGGCCACCATGGAAACGTACGAGCGAAATGGGTGACAGTCCTTCTCGTTCGAGGGAGGAGGAGGAGCAGGAGGAGGAGGAGGCAGGAGGAGGAGGATGAAGAGGAGGAGGAATAAGAAGAGGAATTCTACTGTCACGAAACATACGACTAATAATAGTATGACGAAGCATCGGCATACTACTACTACTACTACTACTACTACTACTACTACTACTACTGCTGCTGCTGCCGCTGCTACTACTACTACTACTACCACTACTACTACTACTACTACTACTACTACTACTACTACTACTACTACTACTACTACTACTACTACTACTACTACTCTACTACTACTACTACTACTACTACTGCAGCTGCTGCTCTGCTCTACTCCTACTACTACTACTACGACTACTACTACTACTACTACTACTACTACTACTACTGCTACTGCTGCTGCTGCTGCTACTACTACTACCTACTAACTACTACTACTACTACTACTACTACTACTACTACTACTACACTACTACTACTACTACTACTACTACTACTACTACTACTACTACTACTACTACTACTACTACTACTACTACTACTACTACTACTACGACGACGACGACGACGACGACGACGACGACGACGACGACGACGACGACGACGACGACGACGACGACGACGACGACGACTACTACTACTACTACTACTCCTTTTCCTCCTCCTCCTCCTACTACTACTACTACTACTACTACTATTACTACTACTACTACTACTACTACTACTACTACTACTACTACTACTACTACTACTACTACTACTACTACTGCGACTGATAAGGTGACGGGTACTCGCATGGCTATTACGAAGACAGATACACTGGACAAGTCTACTACTACTCACCATCGTATTACTAATATCATTCTTACTAGTCCTACTCCGCGCTCTCCGCCTCCCGCTGTTTCCTCTTGTTTATCTTTTGTTCGAGTGCCCAGCTCACCGGTGTGTGTGCCCTCCGCCGCGGCATGCCCCTGCGCGGCAGCTCTTCACCACCCACCAAACCACCCCAACCCAACCCGAAGGCCTCAATTTGCCTTCCATTTCCAGTGGTGGGGGGGTCGGGGAGAATTGTAAAAACACATGGAACCCGTACCCCTGTCAACCCGAAATTCGGGTCAAATTCGGGTCTTCGCGTTGGGATGGGGTGGTCTGGTGGGGAGTCAGCACTCCGTCGCGGCATGCCCCTGCGCGGCAGCTCTCGGTCTGGCTCCGTTGTGGACGCCATGCGTCGAAGAAAAAACAAACAGCAGAAACATACACTCTTCGCGGTCCGCGTGGATTTCTGGGATCTGCGCTGGGCCCCTCTGGCGGCGCCTCGGGCGCCGCCCCTGGCGCGCGCGCCAGGGGGGGGGTCCCAGCGCAGGTCCAAGAAATCCGCGAAGAACGCCGAAAGTTGATGTGTATGTTGTTTCTCTTCTTCGGATGCCGCTGTCTTGTCATCTTAAATTCAGTTGCAGTCCTTCGCCGCCTCCTTCTCTCCGCTCGACGTCGGGTCTTTATACGGGCACCCAGGTCAAACCCCCCAGTTGGTTTACGCATTCACGAGCTTGATTCCCCTCGTCTTCTGCTCTCCTCCTTTTTTCTTTTTTCTCCTTCGGCGTCGGTTGCTGGCGTCCGCCACACGCGCTGGGCTTCAGAACCCTATTGTCGCCACACACCTTTCTGGGGTTTCACTTCTTTTTGCTGCGACAGTAGCTCAGGGGTTTCGTTGTTTACCGAGTTGAACTTAGAAGATGTACCCTGGTATTAATGGTCACAGGTAGCGCCTGCCTGTCTGGGCCATCTGACCGATGCATTATCCCTGACATTTTCAAGTTATCTTCTCACGCACGGCAGCGATTTGGTTGGATCACCTCAGGCATCTATTGTTCCCAACCGTCCTGTGGTGTTGGGTTTTCGTTTTGAAGAGACGACCTCCGCGTTCCTCTCCTCTCCTCTTTTCTCCTCTCCTCTCCTCTCCTCTCCTCTCCTCTTTTCTCCTCTCCTCTCCTCTCCTCTCCTCTCCTCTCCTCTCCTCTCCTCTCCTCTCCTCTCC